AAGACCACGGCACGAAGGTCCGTCGACCGGCAGGGTTCACTGTGTAGAACTTTTGTTTTGGTCTAATTTTTGAATTCGAATTTTGTACGTTCTCCGAATTGTTTCGTGTCGTCCGCCCGTCAGGCATTTATACCTTTTGATTTTGTAACGCGTAGAACGCGCGCAGGTCCTTAACGGTCGGTTGTCGTATTTTGGTAAACGCAGATTAGCCGTGTTACGACTTTGGCTTTGAATTCGTACGATACGCGAAGTACGCGTTACTATCTTTTGATTGTACTTTGGTTTTGTCTTTTCGATCTATATTAATTACTATTTCTTTTGTAAATAATTACTTCGGTATTGTAAGAGATCGTCGCGCTTCGCGCCGCCGATTTTATTTAATAAACCGAACCTTCCTTGAATATTAGAGATCAAAGTGTCCGAATGATTTTGTGTGTCGCGTGATCGTCTGACCCATCCGACCTATTGTTCCGAACCCCGACGCCTCCGCGTAGCTGAGTTAGCCAACGTAGGCACTGTACGAAGACATACTGTAGAAACTGATACATGGTTCCCGTTTTGGAATCTGGCGCCCAACAATACCCTAGGTATTTCGAGAGAAATATTTGTTAGTCCCTGGTTGCCTGGAACGCGTAGGAATCGCGTAAAGTTGTGCGCCGGTCGGTCTTGCATTTTCCAGTGGGTCGATCGCGTAACAATACGTCACAACATATGTATACTGGAAATGAAGGAGGGCTGAGGTAACTACAATTATTAATAAACGCATTTATATGTTGTACAAAAAGTCACGAAGTTCTAAGAAATTGTGTCATTATATACATAATTGTTTTTCTAATTGAAATTAAAAAGCAGTCAAAATGACTTCCTTGGGCAATCTAGTGTTAAGCCCCGGACAGGAGACATACCGTTAGATCCGGCTCGAAAAAATAAAAATATTGGCGTCAACAATATTCAAAATTTTTAATTAGTTTATTAATTATTACGGATTAAAGTAAGCCAATCATAAGCGCGTAAGAACTGGTAACTCCTCCTCAGTCTCCTCCCATTTGGGACAGCCAATCATTTATTTCCCCACAAAAACAGTCACCGGTGGATACGTAAACGAATATAGTAACGTAAATAAACAAAAGAATAATGCAAAATGTTTTTTGTGGGGAAATAAATAATTGGCTGTCCCCAGTGGGAGGAGACTGAAGAGGAGTTACCAGTTCTCACGCGTTTATGATTGGTTTACTTTAATCCGTAATAATTAATAAACTAATTAAAAATTTTAAATTTTGTTGACGCCAATATTTTTATTTTTTCACGCCGGATCTAACGGTATGTCTCCTGTCCGGGGCTTAAGACTAGATTGCCCAAGGAAGTCATTTTGACTGCTTTTTAATTTCAATTAGAAAAACAATTATGTATATAATGACACAATTTCTTAGAACTTCGTGACTTTTTGTACAACATATAAATGCGTTTATTAATAATTGTAGTTACCTCAGCCCTCCTTCATTTCCAGTATACATATGTTGTGACGTATTGTTACGCGATCGACCCACTGGAAAATGCAAGACCGACCGGCGCACAACTTTACGCGATTCCTACGCGTTCCAGGCAACCAGGGAACACCCTGTATATAAAGTAAAATTAAGTTCATAAAATGTATTCTCTACTTACAGCTACAAAAGTCATAACATCATTTCGGAAAGCAAATGTTACATGCAGTAGGAATTTTGAATTGAAAATGCACGACCAGTCAAAATTACTGGTCTGGTAAATCTAGTGTTAATAGTAATATAATAACTCTACAAGGCATATAAAGTTAATTTTCCATATGGAGCTTCTCCATGTCGAACGTGTATGTACTCTCTGTATTACAACCAGCATATAAACTTTAAGATAATTATTGTTCAATTCGTCTTGATCTTTCTTTTTTTTTTTACAAAATTAACGAGTGTATACATATACATTTGTGCGTATTAAAGTTTGATATGGCATTGACAATGTGAAAAAAGCTTCACTAAAAGATATAACTTTTCAAATTTTTCTCATCAAATGCACACGACATTTAGCTGGATAAGTTATTCTTACTGCATATTTACACAGTAGAAATTTTATATTCCGTTAAAGATTTGACATCCTGTATACCATTTCAATGCCGATGTAAAACCATTTTACGTCAGGCTTACAGACATCACTATTTATTTATAAATGAATGAAAGTCAAATGAGTAATGTGTAGAAACATGCTAGCAGGTGATTGTAGATTATTCAATGACAAAAATTATATACATTATTAACAAGTAAATTCACTAAATGATTGATTATTATTTTCAAACGGTAATCGCAAGAGTAATATTATAATTCAAAATAGTAACTTCTATACGTACTATGATCATCAGCTGCACAGAGAATATGTTCTTTAACATGAGGATCTTGTCGTGGCCGAGGTCTATGCTTGATCCAAACACCAATACTGAACTTCTGTGCAAGATTGTGATCCAGAATGTCATCAGGAACGATGGCAGCAGAATTAGCTCCATCAAATTCAAATATTTCATCAGCTTCTCGTCCTTCGTCTCTCGAAAGTCCTGCAGTCCAGAATGACGTACTGCTGGGAGTAGGCAAAAGATCGATACTATCTCTTGATGCTCCGCAAAGTTTTCGTTGACTACGAACACCATACGTGTCCCTATCGCAGCCTTTGCCAATATGATCTGTTGCCAGAGTCAAGGTAGCTCGAAGATTTCGTAAAATGCAAGGAGCATCGCAAAGTTCGAGTTTCGCCGAAGGTAATAATGGTTGTGTACCAACACCAGCTGCGTAATCTACCCTTTCAGGTATTCCTCGCCATCCGGGAGAACACACCCGATTTACCTGTAAAGTAGAATTTTTTAATTAATTAAACATTTTTAAATAAGGTCACCATAGCACACTTATAATATTAAAACACTTGTATCTTTTTTTCTCGTATTTATTAACAATACTTTAATTCTTTAATAATCTAATAAAACTTAAATGAGAAAAATTAAAAGAATGGATTTTTTATTTGTGTATTTCATACGGGATTTCATATTAAATGCTTCATCGTATACAACACAAGTTTGCAAAATATTAAAGAATTATATAAAGAAATAGGAAACAGTTTTCAAAATTTGATATAATAACTGTAAAAGATATCTTTTAGACTCTGATTATTTTTAAAGATCAAGCACTATCTATTACATTTTCTGTAATTTGTTTTAACCTTAAGAGACAATATAAACGAGAGAGATAGAATGAAATTAATCGAAACGAATTGGAGAAATGTGAAAAATCTCCTGCTTTCTTGTCCAAGGAAATAATGATTAACATAAGAAACTGATTTACAAATGATTTTTTAAGAGTTATTGTATAATTACATAGGTCGTCGTCCATTATGTATCCCAAACTTCTCCTAATGATCCTCAAGGATTTTGGCACACGGAAACCGAATCAGATTTCTAAATTTGCCCATCTCGTCAGGTTTTTACAAAAACAACAGGTAAATATTTTAATATAAAATGTAAAATGGTCCGAAATAAAAACGTTTCTTTTAAACTCAGACGTACACGTGGAGAAGGATATGATAAAAACTATCATATATCTGGCAAAACTACCATAATTTTCTGGTACATGTTAACTACTTTCGATATTCTGGCAAATATTCTTATAAAGCAAACCAAATACTACTAAATAATATCGTAATTTTCGCTATCACAGATGATATGATCTTCAATAGTTTTTATAGAAGATAATTACTTTTTACTACAAAATAATTGTGGCAATAGTCTTATATTGGTATGTCATGGGTTTTCTTTTTTAGCCGTGTAGTTTTTTGCAATTAAATTGTCTTGTGAGAAAAATAATCGAAAAACGTAACTACTAACAATGATATTATATTATTTAAAAGTAACAGTAGGTAAAGAATTATATCAAAAATAGTTGCAATTCTGAAGGTTAAGAGGTTAGAATTTTTTAATTAAAATTATTTTCGATATTTGTCAGATATGCGGCAATTTTTATTAAATCCTTTTCTCAATGTAGAAAAAGTAGTTCCATTGTCCCTTAATTCATATCCTATGTTCCTGACGTGGACGTCCTCATTTAAAACATTATCATATAATTGATATTTTTGATATTGATATTTTGAGTCTAAGTCGCTGCCACCATTTATAACACAATTCAGCCCAGAGATACGACCGTTCAAAAACTGGGAAAAATACATTTTGTTTGGATGTTTAACTGCGTTTTCTTTTAAAACCTGACGTGATGGACAAATTTGGGAATCGGATTTGCTTTCAGCGTTCGGGATTACCTACGGTGGTTTTGTGCAACAGTGCAATAAATGTTAAATAGAGAATGGCAAAAAAGGCATTGGCGGGTTGCCATGACAGATTTGTAGGCTGTCACTTTCGAGATTCAGTTACGCTTTATATGTTTTCTAAGAGATAATAATAAAAAAAAAAATCAACTGTGCAGGAAAAGATATTTTATCATAAGGTTTCAATTTTGTGTAATCAATTAATTAACACGTTGAGTGCCGCGTCAGTCACCGGTGACACACTCGCACCTCTAAGCAGCGCATGTGGCCTGACGGGGATTTCCTTATAAATTCGCGTGGCATTCAACGTGTTAATAATACTTTCTGCGGTTTTTATCATTTTTACGAATAAAATAGGGAATCGCGAATACAATAAGGACAGATCACAATCGGAAAGTGCTTTTCTAATCACAGAAAGGGCAGGAAAGTGTACTCTTGGATCAAAATGTAGCAAGCCGTAAGACTTCACGATTTTCGAATCAGGACTGATAATTTATGTAATACGTTTGTATCTTGCTAAATGTATTGCAGTTAGAAAACTAAACTTTTGAGTTCACGGATATCGAAATTCATTTATTTTAATAAGAAAAGTATTTTTTAAATATTAACAGTTATAATAATTATATAAAAAAAAGCTAGAAAATAAGAAACAAAGCCAGAAACCGCACTAACTTTTTTAAATTGAAGTTTCATAGTTTCTTTTTTGTCATATAAATGATACACTTCTGTCTAGAGACATTTGGTTGCCCAGAACCAAGAAGTTATGTTGTTAAGGCTTTTTTAGGTTAACTTCGTGTATATGGACACGTACTGAAAACTATTCCTTTCTAATCTGTTCGTATAAGTGAAAATGGAAAAGAGATATTTGGAGCACACGGAATTAAAATATTCTCTTAGATAAAAACTTGAATTTGACATTAATCACGAGATCAAGATACAACAAAGATAATTCTTAAGATGCTAGGAAGTACTGTATATCACAGTGACAAGTACTTTAATCTTGTAAACTGGATCCGAATCGAATATAGTATATTACGATACAAGTGCGCAAAGTAGGTGATTCCCGCAAGAGTCGGGTTTGTCGCCCGAGCGTAGCGAGGGTGACAAAAGAGACGAGTGCGGGAGACGCCTATGCGCACGTGTATCGTATACTATTTTTCCTAACAAGCTGCGTAACATTCGATTTTGCACACGCGTTTGACAGTGCGGGAATGGGGCACTTTGCGCACGCAAACCCGTGCGCAAAATCGAATTTTGCGCACGCTGTTAGGAAAAAGATATAATAATGTAATAATAAAGATGTATTCATTCAACATCGCCCGACTTCAACCTAAGGACAACCTATGTGGGCGGCAGTAACAACAAAGCGGGGTATTCAGGGCTCCAGCGGACGGGGAGTGAAGAAGAGGGAGCATTAATTTGCATCGATTATGCCGCATCCAAAGTGTGATTCGTAACTAAGAGACACCTACGGCGTGCGGAACGAGTGTTCTCAGGCAAAAGGACGAGCAATTCTGAAAGAGGAATGAAGGCTTGTGGTCCAACCAGGTACTCGGCCGGGCGAGAGTGACGCGGACTCGTGCTGTCCAGCACCTTTGCTTGTAGCATGTAGTCGCGTGCTTAGATATCTCTAATAAGTAAAATTGTCGGTTCACAGATACCACCGCGTTGATCCTGTGAGACTCTGATCACTTCCTCTTCCCCCGCCCACTTCATAGGACGCCGGATGCCAATGGAGAGGGAGTGGGGTTAACGAGAAAAAGGGGAGATTGATAGAGTGACTGAGCTAGTAATATCACCGTGCTTAGATTCACCGACAACTTAAGATCGGAGTTAAGTTAGTACGAGCATTATAGTCCCATCACGTGAGAGTGAAAATAAAAAAAAAAGTTTTAAACAAATGTGAAGCATGAATTGCAGAAAGCTATATTTGGAAGAAAACAAAGTGCCTCTAACATATGTATAAAGAAATAATAGTTACCAAATTATTAACAGTAAAGCAACAAAGTTTCTTAGAGGTCAAATCTTGTACTATTTTTCTGAACAAACATCTACATCACTTGTCCGATTTCAATGTACTATAGCTTATTTTATTCGTTAAAAGATTCTTTAGAAATCCACCGAAATAGATCTTTTCTAAAAATATATGGTTTAAGAATTTCCCCCCAAAAAAACACTTTCGTATAAAAAAACTACGCCAAGAACACGACTGCTGTGAATTTCTCTAACAAAATGTATTGAAGTCATATTATTAATTCCAAGTACATAAGTCACTACATATATGCCTATTATATGATTTAGCACTGGCCAAGCATTTTAATTGTATTTTCAAAAATTCCTATATTTAATTATGATTTAATGCTTATCTAATAATTATTAAAACTTTAGGTGATTCCTTATCGAGTACTACTTGGCGGGTCCGTGCATTTCTTGATATAAATTTGCGTTCATTATGCCAGTCTTTAAACCTAAAACCAGCGTCAACTTTCTATATAGAACATATTAACAATAACTCGCCAAAAATAATAACAGTAACAGCCTAATAACAAACATAGAGTCTTAAAATACTATTAGTACGTTTCAAGTAAGTACTTTAGAATTCCTGGCACGGACTCGCCAAGTAGTACTCGATAAGGAATCATCTTAAAATTGTATTAATTATTAAATGATCAATAAAACATAATTAAATACGAGAAGCAGTAGTAATGTAAAAGAGTAGCGAAAACATTATAGGAAATTTTGAAAATTCAATTAAAATCATGGGCCAGTACTACTAGATCATTTAATAGGCAGATATATTGTGATTTATGTACTTGGTATTAACAATATGATTTCAATACTTTTTGTTAGAGGAATTTACAGCAGTCCTGTACTTGGCGTAGTCTTTTACAAGTGTTTTTTGGAGAGGATATCAAAGTTTTTGTTGCTCAACGGGATATAGAAGCTCTAAGCATTCAAATCTATATTGTCACAGATATAAAATATAAATACATTGTGATGTCGCTAATAAAAAAATACAATATATTGTGTTGTCAAAAGTGTTTAAAGGCATATAAATTTAATTTAAGCCCATTATTTCTACAAATGCATAAAGATATATACAAATTTTAAAGGAAAATATAGTCTTGAATGTATACAGGGTGAGTCACCTAACGTTTGCACCTCAAATATCTTTATTGTTTCTATAGATACGTAAAATATGGTAAGGACAAAGACGAATGGTACAATAGGGCTGACATGATACTACAAAAAAATTTTGTTTTCATGTCATTTTTTAGAGATATCAAGGTCGCCTTGACTTTTTTAAATGGAACCACCCTCTTTTAAATACCTACAGTGATAATCCCTTTCATTAGGAATTCAGCGATTATAATTATTCCACGGTCATTCAAGGTCAATGGCAGAAAAAACGTATAAAACTAAAATATGGAAGCAGAATACGTTTACAGAAATACGCTCAATTTTTGCAAAAAGATCTGCGAATTCTGTTAGAAGATGTCCCTTTACAAAATCGCTATGATATGTGATATCATGACGGTTATCCCGCTCATTACGCACGAGTAGCAAGAGAAACGATTCTCGATTTCCAAACCGATGGATTGGACGAGGCGGAACTGTTTCATGGCCAGCACGCTCGCCTGATTTAAATCCACTGGATTTCTATTTCTAGGGTCTACTAAAAGAGACCGTGTACATGGATGCTCCACCAACAGTTGAAGATATGTGTCAGCGTATCATCACAGCATGTACGAATATCACCTCGGATATACTTATTAGAGTTCAACATTCCTTCAGAGCTCGTTTACAACAATGTATCGACGTAGACGGCCATCATTTCGAACATTTATAAAATACAGGTATTCTGCTTCCATATTTTAGTTTTATCCGTTTTTTCTGCTCTTTGACCTTGAATGACCTTGGAATAATTATAATCGCTGAATTCTTAATGAAAGGGACTATCACTGTAGGTATTTAAAAAAGGGTGGTTCCATTTAAAAAAAATCAAGGCGACCTTGATATCTCTAAAAAATGACATAGAAACAAAATTTTTGTTTTGGCATCATATCAGCCCTATTGTACCATTCAACTTTGTCCTTACCATATTTTACGTATCTATAGAAACAATAAAGATATTTGAGGTGCAAACGTTAGGTGACACACCCTGTATATGAGCATCATTAATAATATTCAGCTTGTTGACGCCGTGTGGTCACCGTAAAAGAGGAGAGTGTGCTAGATTATTTACGTATCTCAGGCCGTGCGAACAACAGGGACGATACTATGGTTTGAGAGAAACGCCAAAGCGTCGGTCGTTGCGTTCTTTTCTGAACACCCTGGACTTCCACGTCCGACACCTAGATACAAGAAATAACGGGGAGGAACACCTGAATACCCTGGACTTCCAGGTCCTACAACTACATACAGGAAACTACGGAGAAAAACACCTAGACATCCTATATCTCTAAAAACTATCATCTGAAATACTAGGAACTATGTCGAAGCACACACATACGTACACTCAACACGCGCGCTCCGCATAAATTTTTGTTATACTTTTCGGGCGAACTAAAGACAATAATTTTATACTATTGTGAAAGCAGCCTTATATTAATTGAAAATTCGGTGTGAACGGTAGTTTCACGTACAAAATATATTTGATTGTGTTGTGTATTCGTAAATTACCAACACCATCCAGAATACAAATAGCTAATGAAAGCAAAGCAGGCAGCGCCATCCACCGTGTGAAAAAGTAGATGAACGTGCGAAGAACAACGACGACGGACCTGAAATAAAATCATCTCGCTTGCCATCTCCATACACCCTGATCTACTACATCAATCTCATTGATTCTGATGGCAATTAATTCAGAACTCTCGATTCCTATAGTAAATGTATCAATAACTTTCTCACACATAGCCGTTCATAAGATATTTCAGTCGAAACACAGGTACAAGAAATGCTTCGAGTAAAAAGTCTCGACGGGTCGTGCCCTGTACGACGGGTTGCCTGTACTTGGCGTGAGACTAGACAGAGTCTTTTGATAGCTATTTGTTCATACTATAATGCAATGAACTATTTCTAGAAAATCGCTTAACGAATAATGTAAGCTATAGTACATTGAAATCGGACAAGTGATGTAGATTTTTCTTTAAAAGAATGGAGCAAGGTATAACGTGTGAGTAACTACGCTTTTGTTGCTTCGTTATTGATAATTTTACCATTACTTCTTTTTATGTTAGAGGCACTTTGCTTCTTCTCAAATATAATTTTCTGCAAGTCAATTTCATACTTTACATTTGTTTAAACACGTGATGGGACTGTACCACCTATACTACCTTAATAGGGGAATATGGCGAGATAAATACAAAATTAAATATAATTTTAAATTCAATATAAATTTACGAAAATCATTGTGCAGCAAGATTGCAAATAGTTACAGAAATAAAGGATACGTCTATTAATCGTAAAAAATACGACATATAATTAGTTCAAATTAGTTTTGCATAAAAGTTTTCCATTGAAATTCACTTCCTAATTTAACTAGTTTCTGATTTTCAGTAATATACACCCATGTTTAAAATGTTAGCTTTAATCTGAATGTTTCGAATAAACTAACGCATGCTACTTAGGTGATCAATAAATAGCACTCAGATAATTTAGATTAATGTCATACAACATTTTGGCACTAAACAAATTAAAATACGAGAAACCAACTACTTCAAATCGCAGAATGAATTTTTTAAATGCTAGAATCAGAGTGATTAGATCAGCCTACCTTTCACTTTTGAAAATATTAATATAAGTTTCTTCCATTTCTAAACATTTTCAAATCATTAATTTTGATCTAAGATATTATACTTATACACATGTTGAAATTAAAAAAACTTTTGAAGAGAATTTTGATTAAACAACTCCTTTTATTAGGAGTGTTAGATAATAGAAAGTTTTTGCAAAGAAAATAAATATTTACCTTGACTGTCACCATTGCAGGTGCAGACTGTTTCATGCCACAATCATAAGCTACCACGCTAAGAATGTAATTGTGGGATCTTTCGTAATCAAGAGGTTCCGTGTTCCTGATAGCACCCTCATTATCGATGGCAAATGGTTGATCTGCTGTTAGAATTTCGTATTTGCATACATCTCCGAATTTGGGTGTACAATCTCGGTCCGAAGCTTCTACTCGTACGACTTCCTCGTATAAGCGACCTTCGTCGACGGCACTCACGTAAGCTGCTTGTAAAAATTGCGGTGCATACTCATTCACATCCACCACCGTTATGTGGACTGTAGCACTGAAACAAAGGATTCTCATCAATATCAATTATATCATAGCTATAGTCAGTCCACGAGGAGTCCATGCTTTTTTTGACAGCTAGCAGACAATGCAAACCATAATAAATCACATGTGGCTTTCCAAATAATGCATTCCTGAGAAAAATGATACGAGTGCATACTTTGTAACAAAAAATAGTCACAAAATTACCTGACCAACGGGGTATGGCGGTGTTCGGGAGGCAGCACTGATCACGAAAATGACCTTCCTTTTGTCCGGAAGGTCATAGTTTTTAAATGGGAGCAGGTCAAAATTGACCAATCAGAGGGAGGCGTCAAGAGAAACGTAGGCACCTACGAACTCTGAGTTTTCTTCCCTCGCTGTTATTTCTCGGTGGCTTGTTTCTTGTTTCTTGTTTCCAATAGGCATGTCTTCGGCTGACGTCATCCTGCCCGAAGCCACCGAGAAACAAAAGCGAGGGAAGAAAACTCAGAGTTCGTAGGTGCCTACGTTTCTCGTGACGCCTCCCTCTGATTGGTCAATTTTGACCTGCTCCCATTTAAAAACTATGACCTTCCGGACAAAAGGAAGGTCATTTTCGTGATCAGTGCTGCCTCCCGAACACCGCCATACCCCGTTGGTCAGGTAATTTTGTGACTATTTTTTGTTACAAAGTATGCACTCGTATCATTTTTCTCAGGAATGCATTATTTGGAAAGCCACATGTGATTTATTATGGTTTGCATTGTCTGCTAGCTGTCAAAAAAAGCATCGTTGGTTAGGTAATTTTGGGACACCCTGTATATGCAGAGACACATGAACTTTCTAGAGGTTTCATTGGATGTTTTTTTTTTCTGAGACACTTCAACACATTCGTGTTTCATATACGGCTTTGCAAGATGCTTTGAATCTGATTTATAACGTTTCAGCTCGATCCTCTTAGCCCATTGGTAGTACCCTACTTGCTACCCTTGGTGCATAAGGTCCATAAGCCATAAATGAACCACGAGTGTGTTGTTGCATGCCAAAATATGTCGGTAAAAGAAAAAAAAACATTACTCTCGATCTATTAAAAAAAAACATTTTACTCGTGGAATGACTATATGATTAATCTCAATATTATTAGTCTCGACATTTGATATAAACAGTATTAATTACAAAATGAACTATAAACTTTCATCCTTTAATATAAAAATATGCTCCAGATGGAATTTTTGTTAAGGTTAGTAAAATTTTTGAAACTTTGTTTCAAGATCTGAACACATTAACAAAACAATTTTAACAATATTTGTCAAAAGACTAATACTAGAATCAAGTTTTACAAAAATACTTTTTCCAAACATAAAAATTTGAATAAAAAGATGCCACATATACTAAATAATTTCTTATAATTGCTTAAATTTAATTTACATATTTTAACTATTATTTGTTTAAAAAATGCAATGCTCAAATAATACTGGTAAGAATAACCCTCAAACTGTGCTTACGAAATATCAAAAGATTTCTTTATCAGCTTTATATAAAAATCTATTCCCCATATAAGAAGCATGCATGATACTTAGAACAGATTCAATTCTGTTTCATGTAAAAGATTTTGAATTAAAATCCTTCGTAACATAATACAGTAGGATTATGATTATGTACTGGATTGAAATTACAAGAAATTAAAAAAAAGTAAGTACTGGAAGATCAATAAGATATTGGTATTTACGTCGATGTCATTTTATCTGACAAGAAAGTCCAAAGCATAAGGAAAAGTGCAATAATTAAAAAAATATTTCCAGAATATTAGGGTTAAAAATGTGTAAATAAATATAAATCTGTTTTTAATTCTATCAAAGAATACGATCATTTTAATGTTAAAACTTTGTATAAATAATGAATGACGTTTGAGCATTAGTAAACGTTTGAAGTGTTAAGATAACATTATTTTTTGTCATATTATATACATATACATATATTTTTTAAGAAGGGTAGTTTTCAGGACTTTTTTTCTTGAGTATTGGCAGTTATGAGGACACTTGGTGTTTGTCAGGACGGGCCTGATAGCATTTAGATACGTAAAGTATACTGTCAGGACCATGAAGTGGCACTCACACCCAATTTTCCGAAAAAATTTTTATGCTACACACTCGCAGTTGTGATGGGCTAAGAAATGATTTCGTTAAGCTAGGTTAGGTTAGAATTTTAATACGACATGTCTCAACGTTTAGTTTTTTCTTTAGAAAAAAACATGGGCTTGCCATTGTGAGTGGCACGTGTCCTCATAACTACCCTTTGACAAGTTTATATACAGGGTGAGGCGTTTATAGTGACCCAGGCAATTTTCTCCCAAACGAAGCGAGATACAAAAAAATGTTCGATACATTAGTTTCATGGCTTCGAGGGGGACACAAGATGGCGTCTTTCAATTTTTTCCTAAATCAAAGTATCAAGGTCATTTAAGGGTCAACTTTGGTTTTTCAAATGGGATGGTGTATTTTTTGTTATGGAAATCAAAAGAGCATTCAATTCTAGGTCTCAAAACTAAAGGATCATGGGATACTAATTAAAATAGAAAAAAAAATCGGTTTACTTTTTAATGGCGCATACGTTGCGGGAGGAAAGTTCTTTCGATGAAATTTCACAACAAATGTTACTGGTTGCCAATGACAACGGTTGCTATCAATAGTCATTGTTTATCTTGCAACAAATTCAATAATAAAGCAACACTCTTACGTTGGACGTTGGCAACTTAAGTTCAATAATAAAGTGCTGCTGCTGTGAATAGTGAAAAGAAGAATGGATCGATATACTATGGCCGAGAAGGTCGATATGATTTACATTTACGGTGAAACGCAGAAAAACGCCCGTGCAGCGTGTAACTTATACGCAGAACGATACCCCGAGAGAAATAATCCATGCCCTAGAACTTTCGATCGGATTGTACAATTGTTTTCGAAAACGGGAAGTGTCGTGGCTAGAAAAAAAAACCGAAGTAGGACTATTACTGTAGAAAATTCTGAAATTGCTATTTTAACTGCAGTAGACCACGATCCGGAAATAAGTTCGCGGAAAATTTCAAGTGAGTCGGGAATCTCTCAGAGAAGTATTCTTCAAGTACTCAATTGTCATAAGTTCCATCCTTACCACATAGCTTTGCATCAAGAACTTCATGGAGATGATTTTGAGCATCGTGTACAGTTTTGTCAATGGGCACTGCAACAGATGCAAGACGAGAACTTTTACGTATTGTATTCCGACGAGTCAGGGTTCACAAATCATGGCCAAGTTAACCGCCACAATATGTATTACTGGGCTACGGAAAATCCGAGGTGGTTGCGGCAAGTGGAACATCAACGGCCGTGGACTCTAAATGTTCGGTGTGGTGTTTACCGAAACCGTATAGTTGGATCGTACTTCCTTGAAGATACACTCACCGGACAGAAGTACAAGGACTTTTTGGATCGAGTGCTTTCAACATTGCTCGAAGACATACCACTTCTGGAACGATCAAATATGTGGTATCAACATGATGGATGTCCAGCTCACTTTTCGTTTCAAGCTCGTGAAATATTGGATCGAGATTATGCCGATCGCTGGATAGGACGTCGAGGACCCGTTCATTGGCCTGCGCGTTCTCCGGACCTGACGTCTCCAGATTTTTTTTTGTGGGGATACATAAATGAAAAAGTTTACAAGGAAGTACCGACGACATGCGACAACATGCGCCAGTGCATCATTGATGCCTCTGCCAATATCGAGGATGACACTCTATTGTCAGTGCAACGTTCTTACATTCGACGTTATCAAAAATGCATCGAAGTAAATAGCCAACATTTCGAACATTTGTTGTGAAATTTTATCGAAAGAACCCCCCACAACGTATGCGCCATTAAAAAGTAAACCGATTTTCTTTTCTATTTCAATTAATATCCCATGATCCTTTAGTTTTGAGACCATAGCATACCAGTACTTTGAGACCTGCAATTGAATGCTCTTTTGATTTCCATAACAAAAAATACATTATCCGATTTGAAAAACCAAAGTTGACCCTCCAATGGCCTTGATACTTTGATTTAGGAAAAAATTGAAAGACACCATCTTGTGTCCCCCTCGAAGCCATGAAACTAATGTATCGAACATTTTTTTGTATCTCGCTTCGTTTGGGAGAAAATTGCCTGGGTCACTATAAACGCCTCACCCATATACATATATATATTTCATTTGAACATTTACAGAATTTGCAACTTTCATTTCCTGCTATATGGATAGAATATTCAAGTAATTCCAAAGTACAAATGTTGATCATATAAAGACTATTTATTACGTGACAGTATAGAAAAACACAAAAAAAATTACTAATTGAATAACTGCATTTACTACTTTCATTAGTGTAATTGAGTCTATTTGACGCTTACCATAATCAGTATCAGAATACACATTTAAAATTTCTCCCTGACGTTTCAATTATTATTAAAAAATATCGTGTCAAGAGTTATTAGATTTGTTAACACTATGCCGTCCGGTGACACCACCTTGGTGCCACGCGAACATTCTCGCACAAATGCTGGTGACACCACGTTAGTGTTGAATGCAAAGCTATTGCATAAACACCGGCGACAGGCGAAAAGATCTGCACGAGTCCTACCCGACACAAAAAAAGGAATATTGAGTACACGTGCAGACGACATAGTGTCAGTATTGTTGTCTCATGCAGTTCTGTAAAATTGGCATGACAAAATGCAACAATGCATTATTTTTATGATACAATGAGAGCATTTCGAGACTCTTAGTGTCCACAAAAAATGAGGCATTAATAATATGTATTTAAATATAATCTACTCTATAAGAATTTGAACTCATAATTATTATCATATATTCATGTCATATATTAATGTTTTTAATTTTGCACAAACATAGCCTTCTATGATATTTTTGCAAACTATTCAATGTACTACTGAGCGTAAGCGCTCAGAACTATAAATCAATTTGAATTTGTTAAATTTGAAAATTAGTCAATTGTACAACCTGTGAATAACATATGTGATTAGTTTTTGGTTGGTTCCTTACGATTTAGAGCGATATACGATGAAAAACCAATTGCATCTCCATATTAGATAAAATTATATATTAATGATGCACATTCTAAGATACTTGGAAGTGAGTTAATAAATATTACGTCCATTTCAGTCTACTCGCTATAATAAATATAAATAAATAAAACAAATTTGGTTTAATGTAATGAAATGTTAATAAAAATTAATAACACATGTTATTTCATTATACAAAATATTTGCATATGTTATACATATTCTATGTTAGATTTGCTTCATCTACTAATAAATAAAAATTAACAAGAAAAATGGCATCCGAATACTTTGATGATTAAAAACCGGATAACCACTTTAATACCATTTCTCAACAATTGCAATTATTTGTTTTACATTTAAAACAGTATTAGAAACAGTAAGCATATAATTTGTAAATCAAATTTTTTATAAAATTGCAACCATTGAACAATCATATATCTTTCGATAGCAGCCATAGATTTTCAACTTTAGGAAAATCTATTTACACGTAATGAAATTATGTATAACAATTACCCAATAGAACATGATTGTATCCAAAACTGAATAGTGATCCACCCTAACCAAAATGTAACTGGGACCATATTTCAGAAATCACATTACTCTGTTACCATTTAATATACACAAAACTTCTAAATTTATGTAATTGAATGATTTCATCGACACTTTCATCTTTAAATATTTATTATATTGCAACCAAGTGTAGTGTTAAATAGATTATAAATATAAATTGTATCGTTAATATTTATAAATTGTAAAATAACAGGCTTCCAATATTTATTTTACATAATATAACATTTATGCAATAAAATGCCATATAGAATGACAGTAATAAAATATGATTCCATTAAACCAATTTTGTGTGTACACTAATGCACTTAATAGCAATTCGACCGTATTACAACGGTTGAACCTGATGGTCATTAATTTCGGAAAATTCAGGAATTTCTACATTTAAATAACTTCTTATACCCCTTAATCCATAAAATGGTCCCTTTAAATAGAATTACTTTGATACCGTGACATTAAGCTATGTGAAACCATTCAATTATGTCATTTCAGATTTTCTCTTAACTCCAATGATGAAAGAAAATTATCTTATATGTGTGTGCCATCTTATATGATTGTGACTCTACCTTTTATTTCCTTTCGTTGTTTTAATCTTTTTCACACAATACTTCATATTGTGATTGTGTTCGTGGTTGAAAAAAAAAAACCGACGCATGAGAAATCCGTGAAGTATTAGACCAAAAAAATTATTAAAGAACCTGTTCGAATTACTTCAGATTTCGGTAAAAACCCAAAAATTGTACGCAACATGTCTTGTTTAAATATGTCTATATATGTTTACATATATGTATAAATTATCAACATCAAAAGAACATTATTTATGGGCTTAAATGTCGGCCTTCTGATGGTTAAAGAAATGTAATGTGCAATACTAGAAGTTGAAAAATGTCTTCGTGAATTATCTATATACTAATTACTCTACTTGTTTTATACGTGCTTTTATTTATTTAAAAATAACATTAATATCAATTTAAAAAAAAACTTGTATTACTTTTCGGATTGGGCTCCAGAACATCCAACAGCTGCGATGTCGAACTTATAGTTTCGCCGTTTCTCACAGTTAAGCACTCTTAAGGCTCGTAATTCGGCAGTGCCCTTTTCTTTGTGGACGATTTCGAAGGGTGCCTCTCCATGATGTTTATTTGCAATTTTAAATGAACACACCTTCGCACCCAAAGCACGAATTTGAGGTGTTACCTCTACCAACGTTTCATTCTCTTTTACTAATCCATGATATCCACTTTCTAAGCTGTCCAAATCTAAACGGGGAGCTAGAAGAAAAAAGTTACCTCTTTACATGTATATAACCAAATTATTATTATTCAGAAATCTAGCCTGGTGGATGAAAATTAATTTTATCTTAAGCTGTGTGTAGCAAACTTATACTAATTATATAGTATTACACAGTGTACTATTAAAATATATGAAAATCATGCATGACTCATATGAGTCAGTTACTCATAATAGATTATTTCAGAACTTCACATATTATGTATATGAACTATAGCTTTACTTTGATAGGCTTATAAACTGTAATGCACAGGTAATAAATATTTAAAGCAAATTGTTTGAATTTGAAGGGATTCTCTAGTAAAATGAAAGATAATATGGACCTTTAATTTTGAAATTAGAATTATCTTATATGATAAATAATGCAGAAACATTTTCTGATACATTTAAAAAGCAATTACAGAAAAATAAAATTTTGCAATAACAAAATTATTTTAATTAAGATAAGGAATCTTACCTGCTCTCATTACTTATGAAACCATTTATACAATTTAAATTTTTTCCAGGTAATGAACTTTGAAAAAGTTAATACAAAGTTATAATTAAAAATAATAATAATAGGCCTAAACGACTCTAAATCAAACAAGACCATATAAATGTTTCAATTTCAAATATACCCATTGTGATAATAATACTAATTTAATTTTAATATAGAAACTGTAAAATATAAAGAATTTAATCAAAAATACAGAATATCGTTTGACCTTAAAAAATGCTTTAAATCCCATCGTACATTATGCACCTTAAATAAAAAGCCTTGAATATAAAACTAATTTCACAGCCTAACTATACAATCCTTATTTCAGAAATAAACTATATTGATTAATTTCTTTCCCACGTGTAGAAAAAAATAAAGTCTATAATTATTCTCCCATATAAGAAATAGGAATTCTTACATGACAAACGTATTGGACTACATATGGAAAAAGTCTACCCAATATTATATATATAATAAAAAAACAGCTTGAAGTCTGATGCTGGATAATAATATATATGATGACAATCAGTATAGTATAAGACATATGAAGCAACAGATAAGATTACTATTGAACCTATTAAAAATATAAACTTCAAATAAAGAGATCTTGATAAGGGACTAAGCTTCATATACCCTATAGAAAAATTATTATGATATAAAAAACAAAATGACATAATTAGGAAATACAGCAAAAATATATCAAATAAAGGCCAAATAGATCAATGAAAAGCTAATAAAATAAAAGATTAAAGGTAAAAAAATAAAAGTACAAGAAAAAGAATAAATACATCATATAGTGTTAAATAAACTGAAATTAAAAATGATAATGCACAGCTCTCTAAATCTCAATGATTATCCATTGTGTCGAAATTGTACCCAAGCAAACTAAATTGATAATAAAGTTTAGCATCAGGTATATTTGTAAGAGATGAAATAATTGATTCGCCATAACGCGTATGCCCTTGTTATAAAAAAAATCGCATCTGCACCATAACTGAAGTTTTTTCAATTCTGTTTCATAAAAAAACAATGCTTACTCGAATATTTATCAGAATAATTAGCTATTATTACTAAAAAAGCTTTGTAGAGTTAGGAAAATAAAGTGAAATACAGGGAATAGAAAGATTAAGTCACCTCCATGATTGTCGAAGGAGGTCGGCACGGTTGGTTCGGCAGCCACACAACCTAAGAAAATCAGAGCAATTGCCGTTCCGACGAAACCCATGATTATTCTCAGGAAACTTGTTTAAAACTCCTTGAGAATTTATTTAGTAGAACACACTCGCGAACGGAAGAAAAGTCAGATGCAGCGCATTATCGAAGAGCTTGCGACACCATACACTGCAATCGCGAAGTCAATATTTGAGCGTATATCGATTCGCTATAGTTCAGACACTTGACCACACTCAGCGCTGTTGTCGCTACAAAGCATTAAATCGAAATCCTTTTTAGTTCAATTTATATATCGTTCGCCTATCCATTATCCTCATATATATATATATGTACATATGTACAATATATATATGTATATAAAAGCAACACATGGGTACATACATATATATATATATATATATTTCCTTTTGTTCAGAAATCAAAATACTTTTACAAACAATTTATACATTTTGTCCAATTTAAGTTAATAAGTACAAACAATCGACCGCCGACAGCTCCTTCCTTTTCTCTTGTCTTTTTTATTAATCATAATATTTTTTAATGTGATTAGTAAATCACTATAATATGTTTCAGTATCCTATAGTGCATATATAATGTATTTGTGTAATAACTCTTTGAACGGCAGGAAAATCACCACTAACTGTACCAAAACGATAAGATTTAAATACTATTTTCATGAGTCAGTAATGGGGAACTGGACCAATTTTTTTTCGTTTTTCTTAATTGTGGTACTATAAGAACTGTGAATATTGATGGCTTACGTAAATAATATGCTTATACTATATGTTAAAAAATGATATTAAAAATCTTGTTGCACAAATAGCAGTTTAAAAACCCTGTTGAGTCACGTGACAAATAGCCGTCAAAACCTCTGTAACGCTCCGAGCGCCTAATTCCGCGGGATACTTCTAAATCCTTCCTTCCTTCCTTCCTTTCCTTATGGCTGTATCCCCAATGGGGGACATGTGCCAGTAACTGGTCCTAATAACAGAGATGAGTAGGGAGATTGCCAATGAGCCTGTTTTTGGTGGTCTCAATTTTTCTCTGGTTTCGGCGCGCCACCTTAGCGGAGGGCCCTCGAAGCAGTTCCACGTTTTTGATTGGTCGTGTATATATAGTAATATTACGCGTGATAATCTGGAGCTGTGTTTTAGCGCGTCGACGCGCCACCTGAACGAGACTCTCGAACTAGTTCCACGTTTTTGATTGGTCGAATGAATTCGTGTGTTCCTCGAGATCCACGATTTTAAACCGGGTGAACACTCAAATAGGGAGACTTGTATCCACCTTTTTAGAGTGAAGCTCTTTTACGGAGGTTCTGCGGCTGGAGCGAACTGGGAAATTTTAAGACGCTCGTCACTAGACGCTTTGAGAGAGGGGAAAGTCGAGCAGAGCTGGATACCGTAGCGCGTAAGAAACGGAGAGAGAGAGAGTGAGAAAGAGTAGGGAGGGAAAGGGGCGAGGCTAGCGTCAGAGTGGGATACAGCAGCACACTCTCTCTCTCTCGTTCTTTATCTTTCTAAGCAAGAACGATATAGATATAGTAGCACGCGCGGTCTCGGCTTAGCGTCGGTTACGATTCTGATTTGTGGTAACTGAAATAACATGTATATGTTTCTGAGTGTATATTATCAATAATTCTAGAGAAAACGGCATCGATGGGGGTGCCATAGTTAGTCGTCGATTGTGAAGGACTGTTGTTCATTGTTAAATTAAATTTGTCTATAAGAAATTTTTTTAACGGCTCCGATTTGTCATCTGCAAAATTAATATTAAAGTCTCCAGACAAAATAAGTGGAATTTTGTGCGTATCGTGTCCAAATAGTGCTGCTCCTCCTTCTGTATATTGTAGAAGTGTGCTGTGGATAAAGTAAATGATGTCCTCAATTTTTTGACTTGGTGAGATATAGATAGCTACCATGACTAGTTCAACACCATTTTGTAGTTTGTACGTTGCTGAACATATATCTCCAACAGTATTATGAGTTGTTGAAAAACCAGTACTATTATTAACCATTATTTCGATATTTGGTGTAGTTATATTTGTTATATCGTTATTGTTTTGGTATATAGCAACACCACCAGCTCGAGTTTTATCTCGCTTAAATTGAACAATGCACCGAAAGTTAGGTACATCTAATCTATGTTCGTTGTTCATCCACGTCTCCGTGAGCAATAAAGCATTGCATTTTTGAACAATTGAATCCGATAAGTCATCTTTATGGCTGTGTAGACTTTGGCAATTAAGGGTGTATAATGCAACTGTTTTATTACTTATCAAATTGCTAATGACGGTGGCCTTTGTTTCCAAAGTGTTTAACGCCAGTCTTTGAAATTCTTGTATCAAAGATAAAGCTGATGTACTTTGCTGTCGGTTGTGGTAGAATTTAAATTTTGTTGGATCATCTGCAGCTGTCGTAATAAATAAACCCTCAATTGTCGTTACCCGTGATAATGCAACATAAACCATATCCCGCAAGTGTGTTTTTTCATATTGATACATGATTTCATCAAACGTTCCGCCTTGTGACTTGTGTGTGGTCATAGGACAAGCCGCAATGACAGGAAAGTGCGTACGTTTGTTAGTAACTTTTTTATCTCTTGTTAGTTGAATATTAGCTGTTCGTAATTCAATTGGTACAGCAGCATTTGAAAGTTTCTCTTGTACAACTAACTGAGCAGCTTTCTTTCGTGCACATTGTCCAATTTTCGGTGAGCTTTGGAATTCCAACCAAACTCTACAAATACTGTTGTCTTCTTTGAATTGTAAATGTACTAACTTCCCAATTGCTCCATTTACCAAGCCATCATTTTGTTGTAATTCATGTTTGTTGTAATGAGATATGGCTTACCTATAACGAAAGTAATCATGTATGGTAAGCTACCAGTATCAATGAGAGACATTGTGTGCAGCTTTTGTCTACAAGTAGCCTCTTGTTCAGCACTTTTAGCGCCAGTTATTAAATCTGTAGCTGTAGAGATATGTTTATTCTGAGCTTGTTGTAAAATATAATTGTTGTAAGCAGTGACGTCGTTAACTCTCCAAAAGAGACGGATTCCATCTGGGCACAATCTCTCCTCTTCAGATTTTGTAAAAAATCTTGATTCAATAAGTTGAAATTCATAATCTTGTAAAACCTCACCGTTGCCTATTTTTATGAGTATGGAAGAAAATACATTAGCCTGCCTCATAACTTGTTTCAGTTCATAAAATTTTAATGAACGCCACAGAGAAGGTCCAACCATACGTGTTGGGATGGGCTTATATATTGGTGTGGCATTTACTGGTGGTAATTGCCGCAGATCTCCAATTAATATAACATCAATTCCGCCAAATGTAGTGTCATGATTTCCGGTAATTTGCTTCAAACGTAAATCGATTTTCGACAAGAGTTGTGCACTAATCATACTCACTTCTTCAATAAGCAATACTCTGACATACTTGAAAAGCGTTCTGTATAATTGTAAATTTTCATTGGATAATGGTAAAAATTTAGCAAGTGTTATTTTTAGCGCTGTGTGCACCGTGGTACCACCAATGTTTACAGCAGCTTTCCCGGTAGAAGCACATGCTATGTAAGCGTTGCAATAACCATCATTATCCGTATATCTATTATAAATTTCCATAATAAGTTTAGTGACAAAAGTTTTTCCGCAACCTGCAGGACAAGTGAAAAATATTTGAAATGGAGAGTCATTACGTGTCTGAAGATGATTAATAATTTGAAGTAATAGATCCTTTTGTTCTTCGATTGTTCTTTTTTTTTGCAATAGCGCCAAGTTTGCTGAGTGCAGCATCGCGAATATCAGCATTTACATCTGAATGCTGATCATGAATTAGTCGCTGATAAGGGTCTTGCTCAAATAAAATGTTAGTCTGATTGTGTAATTCGTCATCTTCTGCTTGTTCATCTTGTCTATATAACTGTTTGCAAATTTCTATGGTTTTTTCAATGTCTAAATTAGATTCAAACTCTTGTCTGCGTTTCATAATTAGATCAACGTTGTCTTCATATATTTTAACTAATTTATTTTCCGCAAGAACGTCATTGTCTTCACTTTTGAATGGAATATGCAACAATACCATTTCTCTTATATAGTCATGGTATTCTTTAGCAATATCATAGTTGCGGTATCTTATAACTTTTGGCTTTTTTCTTGTAACGTACACCCCTTTGTTATTAATATAATAATTGGCAACGAACTGTGCTAAAGTGACGTCTTCGAGGTCGTTGGGCCTTTTTTCATATTTGTCAAACCAGTTTTCTTTCCATACATCTGTGCAATCATCATTCATAGCCTCTAATTCCTTAAGAGTTTTTCTTATTCGTTGTCGTTCAGTAGGATGAACAGTTGGTATATAAGCAGTTGTAATAGATGACTTAGCCATGGGTTCACGTAACAAAGACCAAGCAGCTTCTTGTGCCGACATCTCAACGGAATTGAGTACGTCCACGCTCATTTTTCTCGTAATTTGTACAATATCGAATTCTGGATTTTCGTCCATTATCTGAATTATTTGACGTTGCAAATTACTTATTCCTCTATTATGTTTGTTCACGTACTCAACAACGTAAGCAGCACAAGCGTACTCATCTTGAATAATTTGAAAGTCCGTATTAGATTGCAGATGATGAAAAACGAATGGGTTGAATGGATTATGCCATTTTTCTGATGGCATTCGGCGGTAAAAAAGTTTTGGTCGATTGATACCTGCACGAATGACGTTGTAATAATATTCATCAGAAGAAATGTTATTTTTTGTATAGAAATCTTCAAAATTTATATAGTCTATATTTTCGAAATTTGATCGTAGCATTTTGTAATGTTGTTTATATTTTTTGAAATTTTCTTGTGAGAAATCTGGATCAGTAGGTAGCATTGGTATCAATCTTATTGTTTTACGTGTTGGCATGAATGAAGCTCCAAATCTGCAATTATCCTTTTTATTTGGGTCTATTTTTTTATAGCACGTGAAAGTGTGCTTGTGAGTCTGAAGTTTAATATTTCCGGATGCCTCTGAAGCAGATACGGAAAGTAGTTCGTCAATCATCTGAATGACGTCTTCGTTGTTACTTTGTAGATCTGTAGGTGTGTTTTGGAGCCATAAAAGAATATGAGCATGAGGGCTGCCTCGATGTTGAAATTCAATTCTTTTAAAATAATCGACGACTCTATATTTACCGAATAGATTTCCCTTTTTTGCTTGCAAAACGGTCAATAAACAATTGACTAATTTATTGAAGTAAATTGCACATGTAACAGCGTCATCATTTACAAGTTTTGCTTTTTGTATGTAATTAGTATTTACTAAAAACTCATCTGAAATATTTTCTCCGTTATTTTTCAATTTATACAAAAGTTTTAGGAGATCATTCCAACCGGTTTCATTTGCACTCAATGTCATAAAAGCAGTTGGTGCTCCCCGTTGTCTGATCATTGCAAAAAGATCTTTTTTGCGATCAGCCCAATACCAAGCTGAATTCGGTATGCAACGAAGGAAAGCAAGATTAGTTTCAATGCAATCGTGAATGGAACCTTCAGATTGTACCTGTTCTTTCGTAACGTTAGTGTCAAAACCAACGTGTTTAAAAGCAATAGAAACACTATCTCTGACCCGTTGAAACCTTCAAATTGTACCTGTTCTTTCGTAACGTTAGTGTCAAAACCAACGTGTTTAAAAGCAATAGAAACACTATCTCTGACCCGTTGTCTCATTACTTTTGTGGCCATGTATAAAAGGTATTCTGGATCTGCGCCTCGACGATCTGTACGACGTAGTTCGCTTGTAGCTTGCATAAATGAAGTTGCAATACCCTGTAATACCTGTAAAAGTTGTAATACCCTCTTTGTAAGTTCGAAATTGTCCAATGTAAATCGTAGGAAATGAAAGCTCTTCTGCATGTTCATCAAATAAAATGCTAATTGGTCGTTGCCTTTCACCAGGTGCCATATGCAAAAATTTATTGTCAAACCACCTCATATTTTCTTGTTGTTCTTTGACTTCATCGTACATCAAAGTTTGTTGTTGCGCCGTGACGTTATCTTCTATTGGTATATGTTCACTGACATCATCAATCGCGATTTCAGGAGCAGGTTGACGAAAAAAATCTTCGTTGATGGTTATATTGTAATGAATATAAAGCGGTGTAGTTATCAAGTATTGTAACCATTCTCTAACATTTTTTTTTGTTAATAAGGCCGTGAACATAACTAGTTTTATAGATCAATTTTTTTTTTATATGCACATAAAAGCAATGGTCATTGTCAATATTTCTAGGTAAGTTAGTGATCATAGTATTAACGTCAACAGGAACATTAATTATTTGTCCATAAATTCCGTATTGGCTATGTACATGCCGTAGTCGTCGTATTTGCATGAAGGGTATTCTTGGTGAAATTAGTCGCTGAGAAACAATATCTAACTTTGGTAAATGAGCAGGTATTGTCGGGTATGAAAAACCGTTATATGTTGACAATATTGGTATTTTTTTTTGTCCAACGCTGATTTACAAGTAGAGCACACCTTTACCGTATTACCTGTCTGGTAAAGCTGAAATAAAAATTATAAAATCAATCATCATAAATGTTTGAATAGCAATTAAAAATAAAAAAGGAACTTCGTTCCAATATTCTGTGCTAAATACATTACCGACAAGATCTTTTCCAAAATATCATTGTGTATTTCAGAAGTTGTTTTTAAATCGTTGTTCCACCACAGCCTGTCACATACAGCACACGATATTCCAAATGTATTTTTTGTAAAAATTTTATAAAAATGTAGATGTCCTTGTGCATGTTTATAATAATTTGTATAACTCTGAATCGAAAGATCAGGAATTGCAGAAATATCATTTTCATGTGCTTCATGGCAAACTTCATCACTCATGTCATTCCCATGGTTTTCACAGTAGACAGTAGCATTTATTATATTCTGTGTAATAACATCTTGTACTGTGATATATGGTGTAAAATGTAAATTTTGTAGATGTAGGTGCATAAAATTTAGTGAGTCAGTAACGTCATAGTGGCAAAAAGTTAATGTTTCAGTGTTAGTTCTAATGTCAGTATATTGCAGATGAACGCATATGTTTTGATTATAAACTCTCGAAAAAAGGTATAAGCAATCCATGTCTCCATATTCAGTATCGCTATGCAATATCTGGCTTGTGAAAAGAGGGTCTCCACAAGATTGCAAAAATAGTGATTCTCTTAGTTGTCGTCGCAGGTCCGTAGGTGAAATTTGTAGATCAAGAATCTTTATTAGAGAGTGAAAGAGACAGTTTCCTGGGGGCATCATTGGAATGTCTGTGTAATTATACAAGTTTGCCTGCGGCTGTGCACAAATATTACGTTGTTGGTACAATCTAAAAGGGCCTGTATATGAAGATGTAGATAATATTTGTCTCGTTTCTTGTTGACCACATGCAGCATCATTACTTCTGTTGAAATCGTTATTGATAAATGACAAAAATGATTTAGAAGCAGTTGAAATAATATTAATAATGTATACTGCGTATTAAAGGTTACCTTGATAAATTATTTGTGTTTGCAACTGTTGTAGAATCGGTATGGTTTTTATTCAAATTCTGTTGAGATAGTAAATGTTGTAGATTTTGTGTCTCCATTGCAGGTGTAGATGGTATTAAGTTGGCTAGAGTTTTTTGTTTTATTTTATCTTGATATCTCTTATTTCTTTCTTTTCTTAATTGTAATTGTTGAGTACTTTTGTTATGTACAGTGGATTGATTTTTGATTTTATTATTTCTTTCTTTTCTTAATTGTAATTGTTGAGTACTTTTGTTATGTACAGTGGATTGATTTTTGATTTTATTATTTCTTTCTTTTCTAAATGTAGAAAATGTTTTAAAATGTTAAATATAATTGCGAAATAGTGAAAATAAAGTAGATATAGACGACGTCTAAAGAATACATTACTTTGATGAAACATTTGTCTATGTAATTGTTGAAGAATGTACTTGTCTGCTTTCTTCATTAGAATTTTGTTCAGATAATAAAGTTTT